CTGAGGAACGCCACTCGTCACGGATAAGACCCTCTCTGTGCCTAAACACCAGCCCTGAGCCAGCACAGTCCTGCACTACAGAACAACACTGGTCCCTGGATCAGGAGCACCCTGCTCAGATCCCTTTCCTCCTGCGCCAGCACCCAGGTCACTCACCGAGCTGCTGGAAGAGCAGAGCCGTGCCCTCTTGGCTTTGCGGAGAGGACTGGATGGCACCTCCACACTGTCCCCCTGCACCATGCTGCGAGTGACAGGGCGGCTCCTCAAAGTAGGGCTGGCCACCTCCAAGTCACTCCGGTCCACGGGGATGGGGGAGTCCCAACCCCGCGAGCGAGAGAAGGCCGGGGACGGGCTCTTCTCGTGCTGCCACTGTGGAAAGAACAAGGAATTACTAGAGCTCCTCTGGTCCCCAGCATATCCTCTGCCCGAAGGGGATAGCAGGGGCCTGCCCACATTGAACAAGAGATCAAAGCCTTCTCAGCCATCCTGGCAGGAGTCGTGCCACCTTCCCTTCACACCAGGAGCAACTTAGAGGTGTTTCGTTGGACATGGATGAAGGCAGCCCCTGATCTGGAACACCCTGAGTCAGCCAAGACTCTGCATCCTGGCTGGAAAAGCCCTTTTTTTGCCCTCCTGCAGGAGAGCTGAGGGAGGGGAGGCCAGAGAGCTGCAAATGGCAGGGGTAAAGGCAGCAGCAACCCACTTCTGTTGGATGTTGCCCATGGCTGAAGACACAGCACCAAGATGAGTCTCCTTCAGGTTAAAAGGCTGTGGACACCCAAACTACATCAGTCTCAACTCCTGCGTGCTCCTGTATCACCCAAACATCCCGAGCTCGCAGGCTGGCTGAGCTGGGCCATACCTGCTCAGAGCCTGGAGGGAGCGTGTCCTGGCTGCGCGTGAGCATCCTGCGTGGAGACGTGGGCACGAGCGGCAAGCGCTCAGCGGGCGCCGGCAGCGTGCTGCTCAGGCCGCAGGAGTCCAGCTCCGGCCCTGCAGATTCCAGCTGGTGAAAGCCCCACAGCCCCACCTTCCTCATGCAGCGGGAGCAGGTGATCACCGAGAGGTGGACGGAGCCAGACGCAGCACTGCGGAGACAGAGCCAAGTCATGAGAGAAGGTCAGGGATGAGACTGGGCCCTTCCCCAAATTCGGAGCTTTCAGAACAGATGTAGGGATCTGGCAGAGCACAGATGTAGGGATCTGGCAGAGCACAGGAATGGTCTCAGTTGCATGTATGTGAGCCAACACACTTCCAGGCATCAGTACCCCTGAGCTGGGGGCACAGACATTGTTTTTGTAGCCCTGTGCGCTGTCAAAAAATAGTCCATTAAAACTCATCTATTGCACCGATTTAAACTGGCTCGGTTAGATTTTGGCTTGCCAGGAAGCAGGAGCACACTCAGTTATGGCGTATCAGCTGAGTGTCCCCATCCTCAGCCCCCCAGCTGCCCAGCCACGGTGGCAGTTTCGCTCTCCCGTGCCCTCTTCCAGCCTGCACCGTAAGAGATGGCTTCCCCTTCGGCACACTGCCTCAGGCACAAACAGCGTGGCTGTTCTGCTCACAGCACGAGCTTTGGGAAGCCGGGAACCTTCAGGGCATGAACCTTCCCTCCCTTCCCCTCAGGCCTGACGAGCAACGAAAGCGTTCCTGAGGATGACATTCCAGGCAAGAACTTCAACGAGCGGGGCAACTGACAGCTCAGTGTTTCGGACTCTCTGCAGTCTCAGGGAGGCATCCATTTCAGATTTTAGAGAAGTCTGCACTGAGGTTTCTGGAAATCTGTCAATTTTAACAGTGGGAGATGATAACAAAATAGTGAAATAGGGGATACTGAAAATTTCACTTGAGGGACACGCACCTTCCGCCAGTGGGTTTCACCCTAACTACGAAGTGCAGCCAACACTTCTGTATGGAAGTTCTCTGGGAACAGGTTGCCCAGAGAAGCTGTGGATGCCCCATCCCTGGAATTGTTCAAGGCCAGGCTGGATGAGGCTTGGAGCAACCTGGTCTAGTGGAAGGTGTCCCTGCCCATGGCAGGGGGTGGGACTGGATGGTCTTTAAGGCCCCTTCCAACCCAAACCAGTCTGTGATTCTGTGAGTACCAGCCCCACACCACCACCCACCTGCAGGTCCAGCCGCACAGAGCCAGGACGCAGGCAGGAACGTGCATTTGCAGAATTTCCGTGGCAAACTTCATCGGTGGTTTCTCTCCCTCTGTTTTGTGCTCCAGCTCCTCCCCGATCAGCTGGAGGAGCAGACTGATCTTCTCCTCCGTCAGGGACTGCAGGACAGAGAAAGGTGGTAGAGCCTGATAAAATACACTGCTTCTACTCACAGGCCACGTCCTACCTGGAGGAAAATCCCTTTTTCACCCCCTGCACGAGCTCACACCCTCAGCACTTCTACTCTGGCTAACAGGCAAAAGCAACACCGGGCGATGGCTTCCTCCTGCCTTGTGCCCGACTCCCCTCGTTGCACGGTCTCTGTTTAAGCACCATTTGCTCCCCCGAGCATGCGTGGGGATGGCGGATCAAGTCACAGCTCCACTGCTCATGGCAGACACCAGCCTGAACAGCCCCCCTGATGGCAGGGAGGCAGTGGGGGACTGTGTTTGCCTGCCCTCAGACAAACCACAAGCGCTTCTGGGGCCACTGGTGAGACACAGTGAGAAAAGAGAGTCCCCGAAGACGGTCAGTCAGGCTCCAGACCCTGCTGCTAGAGGGACAGCTGGGGGCTTAGAAGTGGGGACGCGATACCTCTGTTGGCTTTATGCTCTCTTGTCCTGGGGGCCTCAAACGGGTTTCATAGATCAACCAGCCCACAGTGGCAACAAGAAAACACCTCTGTGCTTTCTGCTGAATGGATGAAGAGTTCCCCGGTTTCCGTACAGCTCCTCACTGCTGAGAGCCATCTGTTTCCTGGCGAGTGAGTGCCCAGCAAGCCAGACTTGGCTGGAGTAGAGCAGGGCCTGGCCAGGTCCCTATGAGGGGGCAATCCCACACTTGCTCCTGGCTGCAGCTATGCTCCAGTCTCTCCTGACATAGCTCCTGCTCTTCCCTCCGTCCTGCTGAGCCTCCTTGCACGAGAGGCCTCCCCTGTACTGCACTCCCCGGGCTCCCACACTTTCATGGGCCTCTGCCCACACCTCTGCTGCAGGACAGCCTCTGTCATCCCAAACTCCTGATCCTACCTAACACAATGACTCTCTCCAGTCTCGTGGGATCCCAGCTAAAGGAGCAACTCACAGGCTGCTGCATCTCACAGACTGCTTGGAGGTAACGAAGCGGGGTGGGAGGTGCCAGAAAGAGCTCCTGGAGGGGTCTGTGGGACCCCAAACCACTTCTGCCAGGCACCAGAGAGCTCTTCACATGCCGGGGAAAGGTGCAGAGTGGGAACTGGAAACTACAGCCCTCTCCCCACCGGCAACATCGTGGTGACAAGAGCCAGAAGTGCCTGCGCTGGCCAAGGGCCTGCACAGCAGATGAGCCTTTCCAAACTCCCTTTTACGTGCTTCCAGAAACACCAGGTGAAATCACCAGGCAAGGAATGTCCAAGGAGAAAGCCAAGGCGATGACAGACCACTCACACAAGCTGATCTCCCACTGGAGTCTCGCAATTGGTCAGGGTTTGCACAGCACAGGCGTGCCTGGCATCGTCTCTAGGAACCTGAACGCAATCAGTCTTGGGGGCAGACAGGAACTCACCATGTTTTTCATGTCTTCTGGTTTGAGGGAGGGCAGCTGCAGCTCTAGCTGACACAGGCTCTGAAAGCGCTCCAGGAAGTCCTGGAGAAGGGCTCTGGGCTCATCCACCAGCAACACGGCAAAGCGATCTGGTGAAAGTAAACACAGGAGGCCTGAGCTGTTGCCACCAGCCTTCCCATCCCCTCCTCATCCCATAGGGCAAGAGAGATGAGTCCAGCCAAGGTCTCCCCATAACCGTCTCCTGGCTTTTAAAAGAAAAGCTGAACACAGCCTTTTTCCTTTGCGACCACCCTTCCCTGAGCAGCACAGCTCTGAAGATGAGATCTACTGCCCTTTGAGCAACCCACGTCCTCCAGTGTCCCCTCCCAGTTACAACCCAAAGAGCATTTTAACTGCCCTAGAGGCACACAAAGGTTGAGAGGTGGGGTACAGCCCGGCCTGGGGCTCCAGCCACGGCTCAATTCTTTGTTTGCTGAGGCTGCTCAGACACATCGTTTTGCCACTGTGTGTTTAATCATCCCCACAGGGAAAAAGGAGACCGTAATGACACCATCTGCTTTAAGGATTTGAAGAGAAACCACAATTCCTACAACAGGAGACAAGAGCAGTGACAGAAAGGGAGAAAGAAGGGAATAATGCCAGACACGTACACCAGCCGGGCTCTGAGACACCAACCTGGGCAGGGGCTGTCCGGCCAGAAGCAGAACTTCTCATGAGCGGTGCACAAGGCCTTCTTCAGCTCCGCGCAGCGCTCCTTATCTGCAAGGCAAAGCTCAATTCTACTCCCCTGCGGAGCCACCTCCTCAGGGAATGGTTGGGAAAAGCAGAGGATGGCACAAGGGCTTCCCTGCTCCTCTCGTTCAGCATGGCTCCGGTGACAAACGCCACCTGAGGCTGTAGGTTACAGACCCTGCAGCTCTCACCTCAGCCTCATCTCCCTTCCCACCAAAGGGAGCTGCTGCACCTCCAGCCTCCCCGCAGGCAAGCCCAGAGCGGCAGCTCCTTCGGCAGCGAAGGCAGGCTGGCTCAAGGGGTGATCTCAGCAATGGCACGCGTCCCCAGAGCAGTTCCACAGACACAATCTCCTCCCATCCCTGAGCACAGAGCAGGGGACCCGGCCACACTGCATGGCAGTGCAGTGGAAGCACAGCTCAAACCAACCACAGGCACAGGGACTGCCTGCTCTTGCCAGTTTTACCTCCTGGGTGGCTGCCAGTCCCTAGCTAACTCGCCTGACCCCTCCACCCTGGCCGTAGGAGCCAGATCACAGCCATGCCTGGAAATGAAGCCTCCCAAAACCAGATTGGATAATTAATTTAACTTATTCACACCTTTCAGAACCAAAACAGTTATGTTTCAATTTATTTTTCAAACCCTTCTTCTGACTTCTGATTATTTTAGATTTCCCCCAAACCAGCATGATTACTAACAGAATAATTAGGCCAAGGTTTATTTAAAAAAGATAGCCTGAACAAACAGTGGATGTCAATATTCGGAGTGACCCCAAAGGAAACGCTCATGCAGCTCCCCGTTACACATGACCCACGCAGCATTTGTCGGACACGAGGGCTGAGCAGGCAAAGGAAACTGGTGCTGGGCCAGGAGCTTGGTAACAGGAGGGGGAGCTTTCCTGCTGGTAGTCCAAGTAATTAAGAGAGCAGTGAAGGAGTTTATTAACTAAATTACTCAATGTGACCATCAGAATGGACTGAATTGGCGAGCAAGAGCCCACATTAGAAAGATCTAGTGGAGGATCAGAGCGTCAGACCTAGCAGTTTAAAATTTAAAAAAGGATGTCAAAGTACTCAAATGCAGCCAGAAGGCGGCAAAAGAGCTGGTGAAAGAGCTGGAAGGCACATCCTGTGTGTGAGGAGTGGCTGAGGACTCTGGGTTTGTCTACTCTGTAGAGGAGGACGAGGGGTGACCTTGTTGTTCTCTACAGCATGCCGAGGAAAAGAGGAGAGAGGTAAGTGGGCCTCTTCTCCCTGGGATCCAGTGACAGGACAGATGGGAATGCTTTGAAGCTGCATCAGGGCAGTTCAGATTTGATATCAGGGAACATTTCTTTAGCAAAAGGGTGATTACACACTGGAACAGGCTTCCTAAGGAGGTGGTTGATGCCTCATCCCTATTGGTATTTAAGAGGCATTTGGACAATGCCCTCAATAACATGATTTAACTCTTGGTCAGCCCCAAAGTGTTCAGGCAGTTGCACTAGGTCACAGAATGGTTTGGGTTGGAAGGGACCTTAAAGACCATCCAGTTCCTACCCCCCTGCCATGGGCAGGGACACCTTCCATAGCCCAGGGTGCTCCAAGCCTCATCCAGCCTGGCCTTGGACACTCCCAGGGATGGGGCATCCACAGCTTCTCTGGGCAACCTGTCCCAGTGCTCCCACCCTCTGCGGGAAGAATTCCTTCCTGATGGCCCATCTCCATCTCCCTCTTCCCAGTTAACCCTGTCCCCCCTTGTCCTGTCACTCCCTGCCCTTGGGAAGAGCCCCCCCAGCTTCCTTGTAGCCCCCCAGGCACTGGAAGGGGCTCCGAGGTCTCCCCGGAGCTTCCCTTCTCCAGGCTGAACCCCCCAACTCTCCCAGCCTGTCCCCAGGGCAGAGGGGCTCCAGCCCTCGGAATATCTCCGGGGCCTCCTCTGGACTCGCTCCAACAGCTCCGTGTCCTCCTGCTGTTGGGGCCCAGGGCTGGATGCTCTGATGATCGCTGTAGGTCCTTGCCAACTGTACTGTTTCATTCTAACCCATTTCTGACAAGGGGAGCAAGAAGTGTCGTCACATTCTCATCAACTAAAGAACATTTATTTGACTTGCGTTTTATTTTCAGAGACATCAAACACCCAGCACCCCCCAGGACAAGCCTACAGAAGTTATTTGTGCACATGCGGAGGTACATACACCCCCAAACCCCACTGCCCACCCCCCGCACCCCCAGGGCACCAGCATACATACACTTGTTGAAGTCGAACGCGAGCTGCAGGCTCACGCAGAGGAAGGCCTGGCAGCTGGAGCACTTCAGCATGTCGCACTCCACGTTGGTCCAGCCATACCTGGCACAAACCAGGGGGGACAGCTCGTGGGGTTTGCCTGCCCACTTCAGCGGGTGCTCGCGTTAAGGAGAACATCCAACAAGTTCTGGGTTAAATAGCTTTGGCCAGGGTTTATTTGGCCAAAGAAAAGCCTCTGAGAAGACAAAGCCTGCGTGGAAGCCATGGGGAGGGTGAGAGCAAAGCAGGGTAGGGGATGGCTAGAAACTCAGCATCATAGAATCATAGAATGGCTTGGGTTGGAAGGGACCTTAAAGATCATCTAGTTCCAACCCCCCTGCCATGGGCAGGGACACCTTCCACTAGACCAGGTTGCTCAGAGCCACATCCAGCCTGGCCTTGAAGACATCCAGGGATGGGGCTCAGAAAGGATATGGTGAATGTTTCTACTCTGCTGAAATAGGCTTCCTTGCTGGCAGACTCCAAGGAGAGAGCATCCATTTGAGAAGATCCATTAGCTGATTCTGACCAGTCAGACGCGTCCTTCCTAAAAGGAATGACAAGTCAGCAAGTGATGCATCTGTGTTGTCCTGGAGAGAGATCTCATTAATGAGAAATGCACAGACCACTTTCTAACCTCTTGTCCTTCAGGCTTACCCTTACAAAACCCCTTTCTCCAGAGCGCCTAAGCCCCAACTTTTAATTATTTTACTAATAAATCAATTAAAAAAAAAATATAACACAACAAGCAAAGGTGCACATTAGCATTTCACAATGACCCAGAGCAGTGGCAGATGGGAATTTGACTGGACAAGTTAGAGACAGGAGCTTGTTTTCTGAGTCTGGCAAAACCAGATCGAGGATCACAGCATGTCTCTGAGGTCAGAGGCGCATCTGAGCTCCCAGCATCCAGAATGCTGGCTCCTGGCACCAGCATCTGTGCCCAGAACATGAGCCCTTTCCAGGAAGACGTTTCCCTAATGTGCAATCTTAACCTCCCCTTGCACAACTTGAGGCCGTTTCCTCTTGTCCTGTCATTTGGGAGAAGAGACCCAACCCTCTCTCTCTGCAGCCCCCTTCAGGGAGTTGTAGGGAGCGCCAAGGTCTCCCCCTGAGCCTCCCCTTCTCCAGGCTGAACCCCCTCAGACACTCCCCATGGGAATTGTGCTCCAGACCCTTCCCAGCTCCGTTCCCTTCTCTGGACACGCTCCAGCCCCTCAGGGTCTCTCTTGCTGTGAGGGACCCAAACTGACCCCAGGATTCGAGGTGGGGACTCACCAGTGCCCAGCACAGGGGGATGATCCCTGCCCTGGTCCCACTGGCCACACTGTCCCTGTTGCAGGCCAGAATGCCGTTGGATCCTTGGCCACCAGGACACATGCCCGCTCATATTTAGCTGCTGTCGACCAACACCCCAGATCTTTTCCCGCTGGGCAGCTTTCCAACTCCTCATCCCACGCCTGGAGAATTGCTGGGGGTTGTTGTGGCCCAAGTGCAGGACCAGCACTTGGCCTTGTTGAACCTTATTGAACCCAAGCCATCCTCATACAGGGATGGCCAACCAAGTCAGGGGTGCACTGTGCCTCTGAGGGCAACCGCAGCTTCTTGGCTTTAGATGGATATCCCCAAAACTCAGCCACCCAGTGCCTCCCACGCTTCCCAGTGTCCACCAATAAGTAACTCCCGTGACTCTCAGTGTCCCCTTCCCCCACGGGGTGTGACCCCATTCTTGGGTCAGAGCCCTGGCATGTGGCCTGTTCAGGTCACTCACGCTTTGGGGACACCAGAACTCTACAGGTCACTTACCTGATCCTGCCCTCCCAGTACCCCCCAGTGAACACCAGTGCCTCCCACTGTCCCACTCTACTGCTACTGCCTCCCCATGCCTCTTGGTCACTTCAGTACTCTCAGTGCTCGTTACTGCCACCAGCAGCACCTCCCAGCGCCCCACACCCCCCA